CGAAGATGCGCCAGGATGACGCCCTCTCCCCGCACAGAGAGGGAAAAAAACAAGGGAGGTTTTCGGCTCATTCGCCCAATGCGCCCTGCGCACCTGCCCACAAACAAATAAACAAACACCCGTCAAAAAAAAAAAACAAATTACAAAGTCGTTTTATATGATACATGGCGCCGTCGGGAGCTCGCAAAAAGAAAGTCGCTGGAGGCTCCGCAACCACCATCCACCTTCGCATAGGGAGGGGGCAGAAAAAAAAGGGTCAGCTGGAAGATAATAATACAACAAAAAAAAAAACACCATCTCCTCCTAACACTTTTTCTCCTCTCAAAAAAAAAAAAAACACCAATTAGTTCATAAAATGACGGGGCATTCAACAGAACTTGCTACCAGCCACTGACCCCCGTCTGGTGGCGCATGGCTTTCAGAAGCTCCCATCAAACTTATGAAGTGCCTTCTTGATGTTTTTTTTTGTTCATTATTTATGTCTTTGTTAGCCATAAAAGCAAAGTCGAAAGGAAAAGGCAGATTAAAATAAGAACAAAAAAAAAATGTACTACTCAAATAATATTGAACTAGAAGAAATGAATATGACGTCTAGGAGTGAATGATTGGGTATACTACTTGTTTTCAGTGTCAGCGAGTCTTAGTGGTGTGGGGGATATCAAGCCTTCGACCTTTGTCTCTCCCACTGCCGTTGATGCAGGAATTTGTTGCGTATCAGACGATGATCTTCTTATTCACCGACATGTATCCTGAAAGGTGATTTTCCTTCGGACTTCACTTCTCCTGTACTACCATCGTGCTTGCTGAACTAATTGTATCTGCTGTGGGCACTGTTGCAGTCATTGGTGGGCCGCAGAAAGAGAGATGTGACATGCGGGAACAATTTTGCAGAGAGAAATTTTTTTGTTGGCCGTATATCATCAAAGTGTCCATGTGGTCGGTTAATTACTGCGGAGTGTTCAGTTTCCGCATTGAAAGTATTCTGCCGAAACTACACTGTTCTGTTGAATGACTTGTAGCAAAGGAATCTTAGGCGCGAGAGGGCTCTATTCCTACGGAATGCACGCTGCAGGGTACGTGCCATGACAGTATCCACCGCCGCTCGCTCTGTGTTGCCCTGAAAACTCTTCACGGTGACGTACATTCTCCAAAGGCACTGCATAGGTGTCGCCCAACGCATCCGCGTCGCCTCCTTAAAGAACCTCAACCAACGCTTTCATCCCACAGAAAAGTGGAGCAAAAAATCGGACTCCAGAATCGTGATCGCTTGCATAATGCACTGTGAACTGACTAGAGCGAGAGCAACGTCGTCCCTACTCGGTCCGCATCCAGCTCTCGCCACCTGCGTCGATAGAGAGGTATAGCTCGCGGAACAACGGCTTGCCAAGTCCGCCGCAACTGTATAGTTCCCACTCGCGCATTTACTCCTCTACGTATGGAGCTCGTTTTTTTACGATATGTGTAGAAAGACAAACAACTCTTCGAGTGCAAACGTCAATCACCGCTTCTGACGGTGCTTGCACATGAGAATCTCCTCAAGGAGGTGTAGCAGCAACCACGTTGGAATTCCATATGCCAAAAATATTTGCGTAAACTTCTGCTATTGAATCCATTTGCGCTCTTCAGGCCTCACGCCATTACGCAGGCGCGCTCCCACGTCAATGATGGCGCTTGTTACACTGCATAATGACCCATAAAGGAATGCAACCGGCTTCAGCACCGCGTTGAACATGAAGAATCGCAGAGGCACAAACAAAACACCCACAATAAGGCCAAACGACGGGGCCGTCACAAACTTCTCGATCATGCCAAGCGACAACAGTAGCAGCGATTTCACTTAATCAATCAACACGACGCGTGCCATCAGGTTGCACGCTGGCGTGTTCTCTACCAGCTGCGTGTAATTGAATGGTGCCCATGTTTTTTTTTGTCCTTTTTGGCAACCCCCCTCCCCCTGTAAGGGTCTGACGGAAAAGATTACAAAATGCGTCGTTCACGAGTTGGGTCATCACACTGCCACGCACCTTGACAACATGCACATCCGCCAAGGCGCTTGCGGCACTAACAAAATGTATCACACCACAAACAGCTGAAAAAGCAAACACATCCCCTTTTAAGATCAATAGGGGTGCGTATCGACGATAAAGCATCCGAAGCAGTAAGACAGAACACAGGGTGATAAAACAAAGCGCGATCTGGTTTGGGCAAATGAGGCACGTATCTCGCTCCAACAGCGGCGGTAGTGGCAACGTTAGGTAGCATGACCAATAGAGCAACTGCAAAAGTTCAGCAAGGAGAAACAATGTGTTTCCCATCATCACTTCCTTGTCCACCAAACCCCGCAGCATGCACCGCCCACGCCGCCCAGGAACGCCCACAGTGATAAAAGGCAAAAATAAGACACAGCACTCCATTAACAAAATTAATGCATGTGAAGACGGCTTCCCAACCAAAAAAAAAAAAATAAGCTGGTTATCATCAGCACTGGCCCGCGTCATGGGGCTAAAAAGCATCCCCAAGAGCAAACTAAGGACCAGAACTCCATGGCCTGCCCAGCGAAGCCAAAAACAATGCGTTTTAACCATCGCCAGTGTCATGGGAACCTCGAGGAAGCGAATGGTATCGATGAGAGGGCGCTGAGAGCTTCAAAGCACTGCGCTCGTCCAGCGCCGGTACGGCAACGCCGCTGTCAAACATGTCGCAGGCGGCACCGAAAACCCCAAGATAGAAAATAGGAAGTACGCATCCTCACGAAAGTATTCCCCTAGTAAGGCTTTGGCATCGTCTCCGTTTGAACACGGGTTGCGTCGATGCTGGAAGGCCAACTGCGGGGGAACGGGATACTTTAATTGTCGTCTCACTCCCATTCAGCGGGTGATAGTAGTGCACCAGATACACCTGTGCGCAAAACAGCTCCCGAAAGTAGACCGCGCACGCAGTGACAAGGACGGAAAAGAACACATGGATCAACGACTCCATTAAAGATTTGCGCTACACACAAAAAAAAAAAAACCACGAGTCCACGATAAAAATATCATGTGCAGTTGTCCTATGCGGAAGAGAGACAAAAATCTCGGACACAAGTAAAAGTGAAACTCCAGTCAAGCACCGTATTGCATCCCCAGCGGTATCGCGAAAGCTCCGACACTTAATAGCGTCAACGGCACAGAGGCGTCCCTTGGAATGAGGGCCGGCGCCGTTGTCATGCTCATTACATGAGCTACAAGAGATGTACACTGCTTGGGGATCTGACAGCTCTGAGGAGGCATCCACAACCCAAAGGAACGCCATGGACGCAACGGTGAGCGCCGTACGCAAATAGTGCAGAGAAGGTTGACGCAGTATGCGACTCACGCACACTAGTGTTTTGTGTTTCTGCACCGATAAGTTATGATAGGCTTCATTCTCGTCAAGCAATGCAAACTGTGGATAGAAGATAATACGTTCATCAAGGTAGGAAAAAGACTTGCCTGTTTCCTCTCTGTACCAGTTAGGTTGGATGTAACTTGCTTTCCCAAATACATTGGACAAACAAGGCGATGGTGCATCGCCTCTCCTAAAGCCGCTGCGTCGGTGTCGCATGTCATAGAGCCACATACACAGCTTGGTGATAGTTCTCGCAGGAAGCTCAGAGCGTAGGCACCAGTCCGCAAACCAAGACAGGCATTCCAAGTAGCTATTTATGTAGTCCATCACGTCATGATGCAGGCTTTATACGACAAGGTGAATGAAGCATCCAATGATGCTTGGCATCCGCAGCAGCGGGCGTAGCGCAATACTAACGGCAAAAATGCATGAATGCCAGTCGAGATACAACAATAATGAGGCAGGCAATGGGAGTCTTTGTAAGAGTATTTACATGGGTGGGGCTCCAAGTGGGCCGTAGCATATCCCGCGCACTTACGTAAAAACAGCTGCGCGGGTTGTGGCACATGCCCTCCGCGTCTGCTTAGGGGTGGAGCGCCTAAAGGGCAAAAAAGCAAATCATTTACATATAGTGAAGGAAGACACGGCCAGATATATCATCAAACCATAACGTGTCACTCCGGGTACCTGAAAGATACTTGACCACCCCTCACAGTAACGGAGCATCCGAAGAATGACGAATGGAATCACGAAGGGGGGGGGCACAAGACCAACCACCAGACAAAGTAGGCGGTTCAAAATCCGAAAAGAGTGCCTTTAAAAAAATGAAAATTAAAATAAATTCGACCTGTAAGTACCTAAAGGAGAGCAACTCCACGGCGAATAGAATACCAAATGGCATTTCCATCTAATAGTAGTTTGGCCTCACGCACGACAATCAAAAAGAGCGTCACCTCCCGCTCGGTTACAGAGCCTACCCATGGACGTCGCATGAGTCCTTCGGTAAACGTCCGCCCCGCTCCCGCATCCCAAGTTTCACCTCTATACTACCAACGCCATACACAATCCGTGCGTGATCCCGGGTGTTCATCGCGACAACCCCACTTACTCCATTCTGCGGTTGTCGGTGCATGACAAATTGGCATGTCAGCATCATTGAAGTGTTCCAGCTCCATCGCCCCCGATACCACACTGCCTTGCACGCGGCGTACAAATCGGTGAACCTCGATGTCTGCGTTAAAATCCCAGTGTGGTGCCGCAATGGCCTTCTCGGTTGCGCGCACGTTCGCCTCCCAGAATAGGCTATCCAACTGTTGCTCCAATTCCCACATATTTTTGGCACGGTAGGCCCCGTTGAAAAGCACCTTTTTCCGCTCGTTGCAAAACCGATTTTTGTCATCCTGCAGCTTTGCCTCGTCATTGATGTCGTAGTGCTTCCGAATCGCTTCATGTACGCCAAGGAACGCCGCCACTCAAATCCAAAGCATAATAAACAACGGAGCGACAACGAGCTCCAGACGGGGCGCTTGCCCCCGCAGCAACGAGTTATCTCCCACCACGTGGGTGTTGCTCTATACATACGAAAGAGTGCAGGTATCTCCAAAGTAACGTTCACGTGACTCACCTCGACGCTGCAGATGATCAATGCGATACTACGAAAAAACAGTGCTCCACACACAGCAAGAAAGACAACACCACAATTTCCACGGAGTGTAAACAGGGGATCGCCTAACGCAAGGGCCTAAAACAGAGGCCTGAAGCCCCGCAAACCCCAGTGGGGCGAGCCAAACAAGATAAAACGCGTCCTGTTGAAAGGCATGGCAGTAGGTTCAGGTGCCTGAATGCGCAAGAAAAAATGCATTCACGAGAGAAGGCAACTTAGGCACTAGTAGCGTTATGGCGCATATACCATACCGCCGTTGCGCTGCAGCAAACTTAAGGGCCATAAGTATGATAACGCAATCGACCAGGCGGCAAAGTCGAAACGGCATGACTAACTGCTGCAAAAGAAGCAGTACCACACAGACAGTGTTCACCGCCCCAGCAGCACGCGCGTGAGATAATCCGGGCACTACCCCAATGAAAATGAACATAAACGATGCCAACAAAAACTGCACAATAAGGGTCCACTTGAGTGTACGCCGGTGCACGGCTTGTACACCTTTGTAGAAATTTTCCCGCAAAAGTGCAGGCGGATGTTCTTGCCTCCTGCAAAAGAACAATTTCGCAGATAGCTGCTGAAAAGTTTTCACGCTACAGCACTCGAGTGACTGCGTACATGGCGCCCCCAAATGTTCTCTGTGACGCGGTGTTGCAACCCTTCATTGACCAGCGGTTTGAGACGTCACAAATATATATTTATATCGGTACTCAAACTCCTTTAGGATAACATCGGTTGCCGCGTGAAGCCGACGCCGCACAGACACCCTCCAGGCTCGTTGTATAATCAGCCAACTCCCACAAAGTGTCTTATACCACAACGTCGTACACGAGACCCTCAGAAACAAATCTGAATGCGCAGCAAGGCTCGCTGCAAAACGGATGTGGTCACCACTAAGCCCGTCTCTGATAAATAAGTATCGCTGTTTTTGCCTTTTGTACGATGAGTACGCCTGCCAGATTCGTTTGACGGCACCGCATCGGAGGTGGTCGCTATCCAAGCCCCCCAGTTCCGCTTCGTGTGATTTGTTGTGGGCCCCATGCGCCGCGCCGAGAACAAGAAGTCTCTTCAGCGCCTTATTTTCCTCTGCGCCACTGAGTAGCACGAGCAGCAGGCACCGTTTTTATCGCTCAAAAAGTAGTCGCTGCGTCTGAGGAAACTGCCTTGCCACTGCAGTGACACGTAATAAGTCATTTATCAACTTCTCCGTGATCCACCCCCGCTCTCTATGTTCCCCCAGCCACAGTCGACGCCGTCCGTCCTCCTCTCGTTGTACCACTCTGCAACGGTTTAACACTTGCTGCAGCAGAGTGGCATGATGCCTTCTGAAGGCCCGCCGTAATCGACGCCAATGCTTCTCTTCCGAGGCAACCACCCTCCGGCGGAGCTTCTCCTCCAAAGCCATCACCTGCCGCTGTAAGACGGCGTACAAATCCTTCGCCTCTCGCGCCCCAGCACTCAACAGTAGCTGCAAGAAGTAGCCACTATGCCTTTCCGTTCGCAATACCAGATCAACCACCGTCTCGCCACGCCCGTTAATCGCGTTGAGTATTGGTAGGGCTGCCTCGCTGGAAGTTAGCCACCGCATGAACTCCAGAAGGTCGTCTTCATGGATGCGGCTGTTGTCCATTAGGTAGTGTAGAAATGTGTTCAGGTGGTGATCTACCGCGTTGTTTAGCCCATAGGCGTGAATGAGCAGCGCCAGAGGAACAAGCGAGACAGTACGGCGCGCACACAGGTGAAACGGCGTCTGTCCACTGGCATCCATCCCCAGGAACGGTTTGGGGCTGTTTCCCAATAGGGCCAGAAGACACTCGTCGGAGCTCAACGCGGCGGCTATGTGCAAGACGGTCCTATTACCCTCATCTGCGTTAGTGGCATTTACGTTTGCCCCCGCTACGAGGGCCTGTCGGACGCCCGCCGCATCCATTGCCTGCACCGAAGCAAAGAGCAATTGTGTGGGGTGGTCAAGTTGTGTTGTTGGTTGCGTGGAGTGGGGAGGACGGACCGAGGAACAACTTCGGAGGTGCCGGTCATCCCCATCGAGGCTCATGCATGTAGCACACTCTTCTCAGTTCCAAATAAAAGAATTGACCGTTTTTTGTTTTTTTTTTGATATACGTGGATGGGTGTGCACAACGCTTCTCCTTCACTCAAATGAGAGGGAGAAACAAAACAGTGCATGTCAACAACAAGAACGAGAAAAGTCAATGGTTTCCTCATAACGAGCGGAAAAAACGCCTACTCAGACAGGGCAGTGGCACAATAGCGTCCATACGGAGAGGGAGTGAAAGGGAGAGAGAAAGAGAAAGAAAGATGCAAGCATTGCGTGGATGATGTGTATATCCCACATTTCACAACGTTCTCAGCAAATAACACTGAGTTTGGTTTCTTCGCATCCACTACGTTTGTTTGTGTGTTGTACGTGTGGGCTCCGTCAAACCATTCCAGCCGCTCTTCTCCAGACGCCCCACTGCACGGAGCCACATAGTCACTGTCCTAATCGTGCATGCATTGCTATTCTCCGGCCATGTCGAAAAGCTGCAGTAGAGGATGCATGGAAGCATCTCGCCTTTCATCGGACGGAATAAGGCGAATGTGACGCCGCGCGTCAAACACGTCGTAGAAGATTGTAAAGGCGTGAAGGCAGTGAGTGCAGCACAGCACGAGGGATCGACGTATGGCGTTCTCCGACAGCGCCATCTCCTCTTCCAGGTGCAGCTTGAAGGTACGGAAGCTCTGACGCACCCTTCCGTAACACTCGCTCGCCTGGCTGAGGCGTATGGAGTCCTGAGCTCCCTGACGGCCCTTCGAAAACACCTTCGGCCCAGTGATAAATGGTTCGTTTTGCACAACTGTCTTGGCACACTTCAGCAGAGACTGCAGGTAGCAGAACTGTGTTTCTATGTTGAACTCACTCGCCCTGAAAGCATCCACCAGGACATTAAACGTGGGGCCAAAGATCTGTCCCTGCAGCACACTTGCAACGTTCATAAACTCCGTTATTCCCCTTTTCAGTTTCTCATCCTCAGAGGCGTTCGTCGAAAAGGCCTGGTGCTGCTCCTGCGGAGGGTCCAAAGCCCAGCCCGAGCAGCCGTGCTTCAGCAACTTTCCACTAGACCTCCCAAAGAACTCCACGGCAATCTCGAAGGCCTCAATGTCATCTAGCAAGGCGTCGCGGAGGCGCACGGCGGCGCTGCTGGCAAGTGCTAACGCCTCCTTCCTTGACCGGGCAAATAGAAACCTCACCTTGAAAGAATCAGGCAGTCGGGCCGCGTGCGTTTCCATAAAAAGCACGTCGTCAGAAAAAGACTCTTCCTGTGGAACCAACTTCGAGGTCCCCCAGCGAAACCACGACGACCTCGTTTGCTTTCGTGCATTAAGGAGATTGCACTCGTTTGCCTCGCGCCGCCGCCGCACATGCTCCTCTAGTGTATCAAAGAAATTCACGACACTCCTCTCATCTACCTCGTAGAGGAAGTAAAGTAATGGAAGGTAGGCAGCCACTGCTTCTGCATGAGTTTTAACAAAGTCAAGTAGGCCTCGAGCAGTATGAACACTGGCTCCACTGCCAGCCGGGATCAAGAGATACGGAAAGCTAACGCGCATGGCATCAAGAAGGATTTCCAGCTGCCTCGCTGTCCGCTCTAATGTGTACTTCCGGTGAGGAAAATTAGAGACAAAACGGAGCCAGAGACCCTGCAGACAGGCGACGTCGTCGGGGTGGCCACGAAAGGACCCTATACTTTTCTGTGAACTCTGCATACAGCAGGTGAAGCAAGCACGCAGCACTTCAGCGCCTGACAATTGCGGTGGTGGGTGCGGATCCCAAAAACAGCGCAGCGTCTCGAGTGTAGCATGTATCATCGACAGGCGGGGACGTACAACGACGGACTCGTCAAGTTCAAGCGCCCCCTGCGCGGGCGCGAGGACATCCGTGTGGGGGGCAAGCTGGTGCAGTTCCTCTGGGGTCCACCCGTCGTACACAACGGCGTAACTGTTAAACTCAACCGTCACACATTTCATGTGGAGCTTTCATCCCCCGATCTAAGGGCAGTGAAGAAGAGAAACGCACGGAAACACAAATATGCGTAGACACGCTGCCAGCTCCTCGCAGCACCCCACAAATGAACCTGTAAGCGTACGCACATACATACACAGGGAGGGAGGGAGAGAGAGAGAGAGAGATGTATACATGTGTGTAAATATCCGTTAAAAAAAAGTCCGCCACTGCCTTTCAAGGCCGTACCACCTTCAGGCACACACCGACACAGAGGTCATAGGCAGGGGGTTTCCATCAGTGAAGACTAACGGCGAGCACAAGTTGAAAAGAACAAAAAAAGAGAGGGAAGCAGGAAGAAATAAAAAAAAAAACGTATCAACTCCGCCAGGCACCAGCAACAAAGAAACATACTTCATCGAAGCCCTTCAAGGAAGGTGTAGCTACTCGATCTGGCGTAGACCCCGGTGCAGTTGCCCAACGTAAAGACCTGACCGGGAGAAAAAAAGCCTGACGTGGGGCAGCACTTCCCTAGACAGCGCTGCAGCACCGAAGGTGCATACAATGTCGAGGCGTTTCCAAGAGTCACGTTGGCTTCCGGACGCGCCACAACGTTCATACCACCGTGTGAAAAGTGAAACCCAGCCAAAGAAGATGCCACAATGTTTTTACGCGCCTCCCGAGCAACAGTGATGTCTTTCGTGACGTGAACTATCGATAGTTTCTTCTGTAGGTTGATAAGGAGCGCAGCGGCAGCCTCGGAGTCCAGTTCAACGTCATCCACCAAAAGCTCAATGGTGTCTCCAGTGTGGATCTCCACGCCATTTGGGGCAGTGAACTGCAGCGTCCCGCTCTCCGGGTATCCAAAAAAGGAAAGTGGAAGGCAAACACCGTTATGCTGAACGCCAAGAAATACCTTCGATGGTTTTCCCACCAGCTCATGAGAACAGTACACATCTCTAATGACGTCTGTCGCTCGTTTGTCGTTTAGCGTTGCAATACTAAACACACCCTTTGAGCAGCTAACAGACGTGACCTTCACCCTTTCCATACCGATGGAAGGGACAACGTCCACTTGATGCCCTTTCACCATCACGCTGCGAAGAATCATGCATGCGGCACTTCCCGTGTATACACGATCGTTACAAAAAAAGATGGAGTCTCCCATTTCCTTCACCATGGAAGCACCAGTGTTCTCACTCTCGCTCCTTTCGTCAGCACCGTCAGTTCGCTTCTTAGCATCGTCGTTGTTGTTAGTTTTCTGACATGGTGGGAAAATACCCCCAACAATTGGCAAGCCCTCAAGACGGCCCCCAAGAAGTTGAAGGCGTTCGGACAACACGCGTTCGTATTGTAGCGTGAGTTTATTGTCTAGCATAGCAAAACACAAGGCCGGTGGCGGTCGGGCGGCGTCCCGGAGATCCTCCTCCTCGGGGACCGCATCAAATGTGAAGACGTCCGTTTCAAGGTCTGGAATGCAGCCAAGCAGCACCTGAATGTACCCTCCCCCAGGTCGCTGGTGCCGTGTGGCTCCTCCCACCATGTGCAGCTGCTGCGGCCGCACAGAGGAGGTCGTCACATCGTTGGCCTTGCATAGGTTGAACCACACCACCTCAGGGGCGTCAATCATCGCAGCGTAGTCCAGTGAGAGACTCATGAAACAAAAGTTGGGAGCACCTGGGAGCGCTGCTGCAGCCACATCAAACGCCTCAGCCGCCGCTATTCGAGCCCGGTGATCAGCGCTTGCGGCGCATGCAAACACAACAGACCTGGTGTCCACTGCAAGCTCCTCCTCGCGTTGGCGCCGTTCATACGTGGAAATTGCGTCCCGAGCTGCTTCGGGTGTGGCAACGGCACCGCCAAATAAACGACCCGGAAATCTCCCGCATGAGAAAACAAAAACGCTCCCACGAACTAAACGTCGCATTAAATCCTTCTTGCGTTTACCTCCTTCCGTCCCTCGAGCTTTGCGTATGTCACTGTTCTTTTTTTTTTTTACCTTAAGGTATTATTCTCTCCCTCACTTGCACGCGTCCGCGAGCAATAAAAGAGAGTGGAGAAGCAGAGAAGGGGAGATTCATACTCAATGCATGACGCCACAGCCTTCCCCAGAGGAGAGTAGCGCTGGGGCACAAGACGCCGTCGTCATAACCGCAAATAGAAAAGAAAGACGTGGTGCGTGCCGAAGTGACATTATAAACATTTATCTTCAGCCCCCTCCCCCTCCTTTGGTTCGAGAACACCACCATTGTGGTCTCAAGGTGGCTCTATACATGCAAAACACAGGGGAAAACTACCCCTCACTCGCTCTCCTTTATCAGCGTAAAACCATCTGCTTCATGACATCAGAAACAACCTTGTTGCCCTCCACCACCGTATTGTAGGCGACCTGCCCCTGCTTCCCCCGCGTTACGGCTTCTACCACGTTGGGGGCCCGACTCATGAGCAAAAGAGTGTTAGGCGCCTGCATCACGGCATCGCTAACGCTAATTTCTTCAAGGTACTGCTTGAGCAGCACTTGCAGCTTCTTGTTTTCCTCCTCTAGATGATACTTTTCCTGTGCGAGGGCGGCATTGTCAAGGACCACCTTGTTGTGTTTCGTCCAAAAGCGTTCCAGTAACCGCCACTCCTCTGAGTACGCCGCCCCATCGGGTGCGGTCGATTCGTCCCGCGCTTCCACATCGTCTGAGTGCGTTATCAATCGCTTTACCTCCCGTTCAATCTCACTGGTGGCAATGTTCGATTCAAAGGACAACACCTGTTCACGCTCCGTCTCCAGCGGTTTACCCAGCTCCACCAGACACAAAATTTTTTCGGCTCTATTCACCGTTTCACGAAGTTGATCCTCACAATCCTTTGCATTTTTGATAAACTCCGCGAGTCGAGAGGCCTCCTTGTTTCGCCAGTTTTCCATCTTGTTCTTAAGCGCCTTAAGGTGTCGAATGGTGGCGTCGCGTTCCTGCTGGATGGCGCTGTTCTTTTCCTCCCACTCCCTCGCATTACGCGCGAGGTTTGTTCGCCACGACGTCACATTTTCCTGAAGTTTTTCAATACGTCTCAGCTGTGAGGCAATGTGTTCTGTCGTCTCGGCATCCTCTTTCGATTTGTCCATGTAATCTTTCATGTTCACCTGTGCCGTTGTCATAAACTCCTTGTAACGTGCGTCTAACTCGGCTCGAATGGATTCGCTGGTTTTTAAAAGTTTGTTCTGCATTTGTTTGCGCTCCTCTTCCATTTTTTCTAGCGCGGTATCATGCGCCTCGGAGGTTTCCTCCTGCAGCTTCTTCTGCAGCTGTTCCGCCTCGGAGGCCATGTTGTCAAGGATAAGCTTGAGATCCGCCACCTCGTGCTCGTGCTTGCGAACGAGTTCCAGCATCTCCTTCTCATAGTCCGTCTTCATCTCAAAAAGGTCTTCCTCGAACTCAGACTCTAAGCCCGCCATGCGCCTGACCTGCATCTGAGTGAGCGCATCCACCGTCGTCATGTGCGACCGAAATACAAGACGGTGCTGCTCCTCCACCTCCGCAAGGTCGTTAAAGAGCATCTCAATCACGGCATTCTTGCGGTCAATGGCCATCTCAAACGCGCGCCGCACAATCTCAATCTCCGCAATGAGCTCCTTCTGCTTGCACTCTCGCAGAAAAACCATCCATCGCGCCTCCACAATGTTGGTGGACCGAAGCGTCATGGCCTCCTCCTCCTCCGTTAGTTCCCGTAAACGAGCCAGCAGAATGGCCTCCTCGCGGCCCCGCCGCTCAATCTCCTCAATGCGGGCCCGCTCAAGGGCAATCGGGTCAAGGGCCTTCCTCCCCCGCCTCTTGCCCTTCTTTGCTTTACCCACGGGCGGCATAAGTGGTTCAAGCTTTTCCTGTTGCTATTTTGTCTCTTTTTTTATTGGCTTCTTCGTCTCCTTTCTTCGCCCCCGCTTTGGCAATGGCTTCACCTGGCCGGAGTTCTCTCTGTGCGTATTAGCGCGGTGGGTGTAAGAACGCCTATGCTGCTTTGGTGTGGAACAAAATAAAAAACATATGTCCAAAAGTAATGAGGAGAAAAAAAAAACAAGATGTCACAATCAATTCTTGTTATTGTTCTCGCTTTTGTCTTTAGATGAGTAGAGAAGTAAGAAAAAAGTGAGGTTTATTTCGTCATAGGCAGGGAAAAGTCCGTTAGGCGTAGAAAGCGTGTGCGGCACGCATACAGACACACATGCCGCCCCCACTGAAGTGGTGTATATTCTAGCGCTATCGCATCTGTCAGAGGAAGGTGCAAGAGTGAAGAGATGGGGGTGACTACACCGGGGTGGTGTCATCGTGACTCATGACCAGGTGCCACTCGACGGGGCCACGGTGAAAAAGAAATGAGATATTCCAGAAAAACCCATGATCAAAGGGATTACCTTGTCGCGAGCAAAGATACGTGATTCTGTAACGACTGGCGAACTCCCACGTGGTCTGGTTTCTGGCCAAGAGCACCCCATGTACCACCCACAGCGCAAATACCAGGCAGAGCATTAAGCCACCCACGACCAGCAGCACAAACGGGACAACATTGCGGAGAAAAACGTTTGTCAGGGTTTCGGAGTCGCGAAGGTTGAAGCACCTTAAAAACTTGGGCACCAGACACAGCAGGTACGCCAGTGCAACAGTTAGCAGGAGATAGAATCTTGGGTGGTTCGCCTCTCCAACGCAGCCTCCTATCCAGAAACAGTGATGGTCGTACTTCCGCACACATCGCTCGCAGCGGTCGCAGTGTTTGGCGCGCAAAGGCTGCCACAGACGACATTTGCAACACCAGTGAAAAAGGGACCGGTCCTCCACACTGGTGAGCTCCACGGAGTCCGTGACGAAGCCGGGATCGGGCGTCCAATTCCACACCATCATGGCATTAAAGGAGAAGACCAGTACAACGAGAGGAGCCGCGTCCGCGAGATCCATAGAGGCCCAAAAAAACAACACAACCGCAGCAAGGGCCTGGGCGGCGATGAGGAACCATGCAGCGCCTACAGAAGCTAACCGAGATGCTGCAGCCACCCTGGACGGCCCCCTGCGTTCCACGGTTTCCTGCCCAAAAACGGAGACGTGGTCCCTCCAGCGGGGCACGAACGGCATCCGCAGTCTACAGCCAGCTAAAACAAAAAGGCAAAACAAAGGAAAAAAAGGTACGTTACACATTTACGTACGTCAGTGTGTAACTGTACAAGAAACGAAAGCGACACCACAGCCGAGGAGGAGGATGAAGGATAAACCGTAAAGAGAGCAAGCAGAAGGTCAACAATGAAAGAAAACACACACAGAAAAAAAAAAAATTTCTGCTCAGTAGAGGAAAGAATAGGAAGCAGATCCGCAGTGCAGAGTTACTGCCTCAGAGGCCTACCTTCCATGTGACAAGTGTTGACTTTCGGTCACACGCAGCCAAAATCGTGCCGTTGGGACTAAGCGCCAGAGATTTTATGGTGTCCTCAAGGCCGGGGTGGCGGATGTCACTTAGCCACAGCAGGTCTTTCTCCCGCAGAACCCGTACAATCATCCCCTGTGCGACGAACATAACCCCGCCAACGGAAAGGAGGGCAGTTGCGGGTTCTTCGCCAAGATCATGCACAGCCACAAGAGATCCATTAAGAGTATAAAGTTGAACAACATGAGCACCCTTCGGGGAGTAGCCAGCCAAAGCAATGTCACCTTCCTTTGCATTGACGGCGATAAGGTCATAGTGCCAGAGAACGTCACTGCCGGCACTTTGCCGCCACATACTCGCATAGAATAAAGGCTCTGGATACTTTGTCGCCGGGCACGGATGGGGGATGGTGCGAAGGAGCACCAGGCGTGCTGTGTCCCACACCGCCACTTTATGATCCTCCGCAGTAGAAACCAAAATCCCCCACTCGGCGGAGACGCAAAGCGCAATCACTGGTGCAGTATGCCCATATAAAACACACACACGCCGTCGAACGGCACCTCGATTTCGCACCGTTTTCACTTCCTTGTGTGACGCTTTTTCCGCGGCATGTATCCTGTTTTTGTCTTCTCCAGATTCTTCCTGAAGTGGTACCTCTACTTCAGTCCATTCCTCGTAGGTAATCCCCAACACATGGATGGCACCCGATGCCATTCCGGCATAGACACTCGGCGGGTCAACCGTAAATGTGGTGATCCTTCCGTTGCTGACGTGAAGCGAACACATTTCACGAGATAAATCCTTTCCATCCAAAATTGCGATGCAATTTCCTCGGAGGCAGAGACAATCCTTCAGTTGATCATGGATCACTGTGAACGGCAAACAATGCATTGGTAGCGCTATAGGTCGTGACTGCGTCATAGAGAGCTTCCACTCACTCGCTTCTTCTGCGCCCCGGGCAGCAGTGGCAAATTTTGCGCGGGGAAACACAACCACGGTTCCCTCCACCTTTGCTACATTTAATATCGGCACAAGGTTTTTAGGGTTAAGCACAACACAGGCACGCGAACTTGAGGCCTCGTAGCGCAGTGTTGGACAAGGGCTTGGAAAGAATGGGGGGTATGTTGGCTTTATGCGCGACTTGTGCTGCTGGGTAAACAGCTGCAAAGGCACTTGACCGTAGCAGTCTATTTGTGTTTCATGGCTGGAGAGAAGAACCGGATCTGTAACGGTGGAAAGATCAATCGATCCCTCGTAGGTCAGTGGGTGAAACACATTCACCGCCTCCACCGCCTCCTTGCCACGTTGTTTGTAGCCAAACATGAGATCAATCCAAGCGTGCAGATTTTCAGAGGTGTGACGGCTTTCAAGTGCCTGCCGCAGTTTTTGCGTCAACTCCCGCGGGGTCGATGCCCATGGAGGCAGCTGCACATCATCTACAACTCTTCCGTCCTGCCTCACTCCAAAAGGAATTCGGTTGGAATTAACAAACATCTCAGGAAAACAATACAACTCTGGAAGAAGCTCCTTCACATCCTTGCCCATGGAGATGAAGTAGGCGGTGGCCATGGAGTCAAACACACGACCTGCATCGTCGAGGTTGGAGTTCATGTGCAAGAAATACTCGGAAAAGGGCTGCACTCGAACCAAAAAGTGAAGTGCCCCTCCAACAGGGGCGTAGTGAGTGCCGTAGTGGTGGGGGATCAAGTCGATACACGCACTACGTTCCGTTTGGGGCAGCGCCTCAATCTCACTGTACCGTTGCACTGCCCGCAATTCGCGGTCAGGGGTCTGCGCCCCCATAGGTTTGTCGAGCCGGCGATAGACGGCGGGCGACGACAAATCCAGCGTGGGGGAGCAAAAGTCAGCCACCACGTGGGGAAACACGGGGTACTGCCGCAAATCACCGTATGAGCGACCTGCCGCAATGTTCAGGTACATCAGGTAGTGAAAGTTGGAGATGCGGCCCTCGCACCACCAGTTCCGCCACATCTTTAGGTTGTTCTCCGTTAGCACCAGAGTCTTGTCAAGATGCGGGCGGGCGCACTCGACAATGTGTTCCATTACCGTTTTTTTCACCTCCTCCGAGTCAAACGTAAGAAACAGGGTTTCTCCTGTGGAAAGGAGCAGCTCCAACGCACAAGGCCGCAGTAAATCTCGACGCGGCCATACCGCACGTATGGAAGCGACGCTCAAAACACGACGAAAACGTGGCATTTCCTGCTTGTTCTTGAGGGTCTTCGGCAGTCGCGTTTCAAAGTCGTGCGACTCCACAAAGGTGGATAGGCCAGACGCCTTCGTAGCCTCTCTTCCAAGTTGTGTCACACCATGCTCAAACCCTTCTACAACGTACGATATATTTTTGGGGGCCACACAAAGCGTTATAGGGACACGACCCATAGGAAGCACCAGCTTGCACGTGACAGCCAGAGAATCCGTTTCAAGGGAATCAATGTTTAGCACCTGCGGAACGGCTGTCACGGAGTATAATTCCAAGAGTCTGATATCATCGATAAAAGCCATGCCGTCTCGGTAGACGGCGCAAAGATATTGGTCCGTGTCCTCCGTCGTCGTAATTCGCACATTGCGAATGAAGCGACAAAGACGTATGCGCTGCCATTCAGGGCCCATAAAGCGGTCTAGTTCCCAGCGGTTCAGTGGTGGCGGATTGCGTGAGTAGAGGCTGATACAATGTCCCCACCATGGCAACAAGGAAAAACGGTAGGCGGCATGGGCAGCTAGAATTGCACTACCATCCTCTTCCAGAGACTTCTTGTAAAGCGCCGCTTTATGCCAAATGGAAGACTGAAACTGACGCATCCCTGCATCGAATTGGTCGTGGCACTGCACAGCCTGTTTGGAGTCCATCGACAGGAGCGAAAGCCTTTGCTGCAGGCCACGGTGTTGCAAAGCTGCGACTGCCGCGGAGCGGGTGGCTGTGATGTATTTCTCAATGGCCGCCACCCCACGATGTGAGAGCTCAATCCCCCAAAGAGAGTCACCCAACGTCGCTGCATCCTCGGCAAGCAAAGCCTGTTCCTGGGCTGTTAGAGTCGCCTCCAGCTCAGTTGTGGACGACGGGGAAACGCCTCGTCTGACAAGAGACCACATAGTGGCGTTGTGGCGTATAAGACGACAGATAGCTAGCGACATATGAAACCGACCCAAATTACCCCGCAGCGGGACATGGAGGAAACTAAAGGCAGCTCGCAAAACGATGATCCAGGGTGCACAGTCTTTCAATGTCTCCCCAGGCGCCCTTTTCCACAGCTCCATCAATACTGTGTGGGGTGACAGCCACAAATGCTTCCAGTCCGCCACATCCAGCGGGTACGACAGTGACTTATGCCTTTCCCATTGGGAATGATGGGCACCATGCTCCGCAATTTCACTCTGGGTAAGGTGTACAAGCAGCAGTTCCTTCACCACATCATCATCGGTTTTCTCAGCATCGTATAGTGCAGTAGCGATCACTCTCCACTGTAACAGCAGTAACTCTTCACGCAGCTTTGCAGCATGCTTTTTCGGCATCCACTTCATGCTACCCGTCTGTAGTTCAAAAAACAATGTGCGGGCAGCCTTCAGCAGGAGTAAGGTAAGGCACATCCCCGTCTGACACTCTCTCAGCGCAAGTGTCTTTCCTAGGTGCATCGAGTACATATGCACCAGTGCCATTGGAGCTATTCCATTGGCGTCTGATGTGGTAGCTTCATTGCATCCTCGATCATCGCTCTCATACCGATTCAGGAGAATCGTAATAGCTTCCTGAATTCGAAGGAAAGAAAAATAATCGTTCACAAACGAGGCTGAACAGTCATTTTTTGCAAGGGCGGCAAACATGTGGAAGCACGGCACACTAAAACGGTTCAACCACGCTTCCGCCTTATTGACATCCGCGTCTGCCACACACATCATTTCCTTGTCGCCTTCGCGCAAAACAGTCTGAAAAATGGCCCACAGTGCATCACCCAGTAGCTGTCCACAACTGGCATCTGCAGCAGTCCATGCGTTTTTAATCATGTGCACAGCGGTGGATGTAAGTAGCTCAATGAAGGCCTCCGTCACTGTAGATCCCTCCATCGCCAAGGTGGGAAAGATGCCAATCAAGTAGCTCGGTAGCGGTTCCATCAAATGATCCCCGGTCCCAACACCGTAGAGAAAGCTGTGTGAGGACAACTCCTTAGTTTCCATGACGTCACGCAAAAGTTGCATAACCTCCACCTGAAAGACGACCGGCAGGTGCAAAAAAAGTGCGAGCAGGAAAAAAATGAGCGATCGAACCCGACCTGCCTCGCTTAGTCGTGCGCTGCGCCGCACTATATCCGCAATAATGGCAAGCTCCTGCTTGGAGAGGCAAGGGGAGTCTGATAACAACAGCTGGCGAGCCATGTACACATCTACCATGGCAATAAGCTGCCCTCTCGGAAGCGGCAGGCATGAGAAGAGGGAGATGGCTTTGCACCGCACCAGCTCATTTGAGCACTGTAGAAGCGACACGACGCCGGAGACGAGATCCGCATCCAGCAAATGTGTAGGGTCACTCACCTCCATGACACTGTGGACGATACCTAGTAGTCCAACCGCCCACTCCACCGGAAGCTGGGGAGGCGCCGCGTCGCCAACAACTAGGCAAACAACGGCCTGCACAAGTTGTCTCAAGGGCAACGTTGTCCGACACAACGTGCTCACGAAGGACATTGCACACGCGATGATAGATGTATCCCAAACGCCATTTGTATACCCCGCAAAATGCATAAGCAGATGAAGGATAAATTTCTCCAAGGCATAACAACAATTCCCTACGCCATGCTGAGAATTGATGCCGTACTGCAGAAGTTGAGCGTTAAGGTAACCATACTGCGCATCCGCCACATATTTTTCCAACGTGCACAACACCATACGAAAAGCATCCGCGTCTTGAGACCATAATGTAAAGTCAAGCATAAGGGGTAAGAGGTCGGTTCTCACGATTAACCGATGTCCGACAGCGTCACATAATGAAGCCGCAATCCTCTCCGATATTTCGATACGAGCATGCAGCATGGCTCGTAGTAAAATAACCAAAGACTGGCCTCCGTGCCATGGTGTTGAGCACAAGAGACTTGCCGGAGAGTGTCGGAGTACGATGGCGCATACGCACTCCCACACTTCTGCAAACGCTGTTGAATATGGCGCCTGCAGCGTGGCCACCCAGGCAAAGAATGGAATGCCACCAACAGCATCCAGCGCTGAATACGCTGGCGTCACGGAATGAAAGCGTGGACCATTGGCTTCCACCCACATGCTCCCAAAGCTGCGAACATTGTCCTCGTCCGTGAAAAGTCCAAGAGATACCCGTGTCACAGATCCAATCTTCGTCAGGCGGTCAACCGCCGTATCCCGTGGCGTTGCATCGGCATCTTGGCGTTCAGCCATGTCACTGGAAGGCCCATGACGCTCCATGTGCGTCACTAGGCAGAGTTCACCACCAAACACACCAACAATGACAGGCAAGTGTTCCTTGCTGCAGTAGCTACTAAACGGAAAGGAAGCGCTGGAAATTCGAAGCTGACCCTTCATGTTAGAGATTCCATCTTGTCGCCACATAGCTGCAAGCAACACCATTTCCTCCGTCAACATCCCTACCTCCTGCTCTGTCATGTTCGCCAGGGTCGGGTACAGTCCAACAACAAAGCTCCTGTCCACGAAGGAAAGAGAAAAGAGGTTGTCACTACCCATCGCAAAGAGAGATGCCAATTCCAACTTGGATAGGGGGCCCGCAAACATTCCTAGAGACCCAAAAAGTAGCTGCTGCGGGCAATCACCAGGCGGTGCACACGCCGCACCCAAGGAGACCGCATTCACCTCCCAGGGCCAAGGATTTACCCTACCTAGTACTCCAAGAGACATCTCAACGCCGACTCGAACCTCCGTTGAAGATAAACGACCATAATCAGTCGCAGCATGCAATGAAACTCGGAACTCCAGAGGTAGTTTTGTACGAATTGAGGTGGATGTCCGATGCCCTATAACTATTGACATTGAAACCATGCACCACTTCCCTCTTGGCACCGCTATGCTGGGTACAGGCACAGTCCTTAAGCGTTGCTCGCGATGCCCCGGCAGCAGCAATCTTAGACTTAAGTCACCCTCTTTGGAGAGGAGCAGCATAACAACAATTTTGTTTTGATCCAAGAACAGGGACACTAAAACAAATTCCACGCTTCCCATGGACAGAGAGGCAGTTTGCTCCACGAGGAGCCAAAGTACGACTGAAAAACACTTTTCAGACCTTGGGACGGTTAGTGACATCGATACGTCGATGCCACCGTAGATTCCTAAACTATGCTTGAGGCGCTGCACCGCAGTCGGCTGGAACCTTGTTACAGCTGGAAAACCAACAGATATTCCTAAAAAGGAAATGGGCTGAGAGCTTGGCATGGAATGCCGCAGCATGGCCCGCCACATCGAGAACACAGTCGTGGTGGCTGTATTCGCATACTTCACAGAATCCACACTGCGTCTACGCAAACACATTTGTAGCAGGAAGAGCATCGCATTATGACTAAATCCACACGCACTCAGCTGCGACGTAACGATGGCAAGTCGTTGAATACTGTTTTCCCGGTACTTTTCATCCGCGGCAACTGCCACCGCCAAAAGCTCTGACAGGAGTGTCAGCACGCCTCGCTCCACCAGAGTGTAGATGTTCTCCAGACAGTTGGAAAATACGTCAAGAAGAAGTTGGGTTACTGACACCCCGAGTAACGCCCTCGCCGCCGTCCGCGACGCCCGCTGAAGCATCGCAAATAAACTTTGGAGGTACTCAGGGTGCACAATACGCTGTCTCGCACACGCAAAGCAGTCGTCACCGTATGAAGTGTAGAGCTCCCATCCGGCTGTTAACCCCTGGCGGGTCGCCGGTACGGCATCGAAGAACTCCTTCTTTGATGCCTCTATTTCATCCAACAAGACCAACGAACTCAAGGAGCACAAGCCCAAAAAGGCCCGCGCAGTTATTGACGTGTATAATCTGCACTGAAGAAAGGGGCCTGTAGCAACAATCTCTTCAAGCTGACGAGAAAGGTCCCGTCTAAACTCTGCCGAGGCATTTACATGAAGAAGACTTAATAGATGCAGCGCAAGCAATAAAAAGTCGCACATAAGCAGATACCGCTGCGGCGACTGCTCCATCCCGCACGCGTCCCGCTGGTGACGGTGATAGGCTATCATCTCATCATACAAGGCACAAAAATCAAACATCATCAACTCTGAAGAAAAACTGTCACCCATGCTCACACAAAGGCACTGAAGGCCAATCAATATGCTATTCACCTCCGTAGGAACATAGGTACGGTCAGCTGAACTTCGACGTACTGATCTTATACACGTCTGTAACGCCCAGCAACTTGTTATGATAGACCCATTAGACTGAAAATTTGTCTGCCCAAGCAGCTGTAGCAGTAGTGTTTGAATCTGCAATGTACCCACTTGAGACTCCAGCATCACCAGCGACAATAGATCCGCACACTCCAGGAGAAGCCTCGGTCCATTCCTTACCTCAGTGCGCATTATGTCAACGATGGTGCTAGCCATGCGTAAAAAATTTCCTTGCAGTGCAGGCACCCTTGTGCAAACCTCCTTTACAAACCTTATCACCAGCTGAGTTTCACACGGGTTCGATGTATTCTGAACTCTTTTATTTAGCTCCTCAAACAGATCCGCGGCGACGAGCTGGGTGTAAAAGAAGGTTCCATTCACAAGACTGCCTAATAGAATAAGGGTTTGAATCGTATAACGTAAAGTTATTGTCGTAGAACTTGAAGCAAGCTCCACAACTAGAGCGCAAAGGCGTGGAGCTCCATTTTTTTGTTTGGCATAAGCTGCATGAGAGGCACACACTGTGAGACACAGACGCACTATAGTCGCTATTACGCTTCCCACCTTCGCTTCTTCCGGGGCAGAGCTGCATTGCATATAGTACCTTAATACATCCACCAGTCCCTCACTAACAAGCCCGGCCGCCACGATATCGGTGTTACCCAGGCGAACTGTACAGATGAGGAGTGGGACAAGGTGGCGAAAGAGCACAGGCTGGTGCTTCATGACCAGAAGAGCAGCCCGCACCATGACACGAAGCCCGAACATGCCCAAGGTCGATCTATAAACGGAGGGATCCGGCTCCATTTCTTCCATCTCCCAATGAAAGGATCTGAGATACAGGTAAAGGGAGTGAGAAGGCGATCGGCCACTATCAGGCAGAGAAATAAGGAGACACAGAATGTCAAACAGTACTGTACTCGGCTCATGTAGGGGACAGCTTGGGTCTTCGGCCATACTGCACCATTGCGTGATCGTCGATAGACACCTCGCTGGTCCATCAACAAGAGCAAAAGCCTCCACCCACCGTTTGGTGAGCCCAGCCGTGCCTAACAGAATCTGAAGTATACCTCGAACCGCCAGCAGAGCAACCTCTTGTCGGTCAGATGGGGATAGGTCAAGTGCATCAAGCAGCAACTGTATCGGTGATAGCTTAAGGCGAGCAAGGAGAGTGCAGTTTCTTGCATCCGACAAGAGCAGCACGATGGTCCTCACGTATGAATTTAAGCAAAGGTGATGCCGCGTTAACCCTCCATCAAGCAAAGGAATTCGCACCAGCAGCGGAAAAAAGGCAAACAACCCGGCGCCAGAGGTTCCGTCCAGAGTAATTTGCCGCATACACTCATGGGGATTGGCCTCTGTGGCAATTTCTATCACACGCATATAATCCACAAGGCTATTCCCCTCAGACACAAGTAAACGCAGTCGTGACTGCGATCCTAAACTCTCCAGCATAACATTGAGAAGCCGCGTTCGTCCAAGGACATCCCAAACACTTACAAGGTGTACAGGGCCAGTTAGCAACTGTCGCAGCTGCCGCACCGTCTGTCGCTCCAATTCATGATCAAGAGGAGTGAACCGAAGCTGTACGCAGGACACACAAAAACTAGTCATAGTATTGCCCTCGGTCAAGCAACTAATGTCATTCTCACAGTTACGACCCATCCTGCTGCTTTGCAGAAGGAGAAGGGGGGAAGGGGGGGAGGAAAGCGGCAAATAATAAGCATATAAAACGGCATCTAATCTCCACCCCAAACACGTTATCAACCCTTTAAAAACTTCAACCACCCCAGCCAAAGATGACAGAACCAAAGAAAATGGAACCATAAATTTCCTTTCCTTCGCTTGTTTCTGTGGCCATGAGCCTGTGATGAAGGCAGTGTCCAACAAACACACACACACACAGACACAGAGAACAAAAAGAAAAAATATATATTGTTTTTGGAACTAAACACAGAATAACAAACAACATCAAAAATGAAAAAAAAGGCAATATGTCGTTTGTTTATTGCTTTTTCTTCATTTTGGCCAATTCCGCTTCCAATTTCTGTAATTCAGCGGTACGCTTGTTCTGTGAGAGACAACGAACCACCTTGTCTACGACCGTATCCTTAATGGCGGAACTTCCATGCTCTTTCCGCAGTGTCTGGAAAAGAGTTAACGTCGAGTTCCAACTATGGCTGTGCACAGCGTTAATTCCAAGCGTATAGAGGATAGGTGGCAGTTTTTTGGACCCACCCCGCGCATTCTTAATGAGATCCAACGCTTCCTCCCACATACCCAGTTTCCCATAGAGGGAAAGCATGACGGAGTAGGTGTTGGTGTCCCGCAAGGATGGGTCCGTTTGACTGTAGAACTCAATGGCCTCTTGCGGTCGTTCAGACCTCATCAGACTACTCAGTACCGCATTGTTCGTAGTCGTGTTGATTGTTACGCCTCTCTTTTGCATGTAACTGTAGATGGACTGGACAACCTCCAGCTTCTCTACTGACGCGCTAAGGGCACAGTTGTAGAACAGGGTTAGCGTATCAGCGTCAGTTGTTTTGGCAAATTCTGGAGAAATGGAATTGATCAAAGTCAGTGCCTTTGCCCAATCGCGCTCCTTGGCACATTGAAGCATAACCTCAGACGAGATTTCAGCTCCTGCTGCTACTGTGACTGTTGCTGCTGCGGATGCCGGACCCCTTGTAGCGGCAACGTTTGACCCTGACGACTTGTCATGAAGTTGCAAACTGCTCACTGTTTTCTCTGAGAGGGGAGGTCGTTCTTCCGCTTGAAGAGCCTCGTTCACAAACGCCACCGCATGAGGAAGCGCCGTTGCCAATGGCACGTGGTCCTTATAGAAATCGGCCAACTCCACAATCTCCTTCAGCATCTTGTTTTCATGCAACAAAGGCAGCAGTTTTCGGAGTGTAAACCTGGCCCTAAAAACGGGTGCCTTCTTCACAATGGAGACGGTTGCTCGTAATGTCTCCACTGTTTTGGAGGCTCGTGCCATGGCGACGGCAGCCGACAGGTGAGCTGGACGAATGCCAGTCATCTTCTCTTGTCGCTCAATTTCCCGGAACAATAACTGCGGGTTTTCCGGGTCAAACTTCTTCCAACAGAGGACGGCAAGTATCGCCGGATCTTCCGCGTTAAGCCCGCGCTTGCGAATTTCCTCCAATACACCTTCAATGTGCTCAGGCTGCGTAATTCGAAGCAACTCCGCGTAAATCTCCTCATCGACGTTGGTTGAGGCGATAAGCTGTAAAATCATGTGTCTTCTGCGAGCTCCCTTTTCCATTTTCGCCATTTGCAATTTGTGTATTTTCCCAAATCGCTCAGAGGCAGCAAGGGTTTTGGACACAAATTCCATCACACTCTTAGCTGCCTGCTCATCCAGGGCATGCAAGGCAAGCAAAAGCCGTAGCTCATGAAGACCAGCCTTATCACTAAAGCGTTTCTGCGAAGTCCCGACGAGATCAATAGCCTCTTGCCACGATCCAGATGTAACCAGCATCGAAATGGCCTTGGACACTGTGGAAAAGTCCAAGTTGCCTTTCACACTGGGTGAAGCAGAATGATAAAGCTGCAGAAACGCCTCCCCAACTTTATGCCGTAGTTCAAAATTGGCAACATCATCATGCAGCCTTCGCTGCCTTAACTCCTTCAAGAGAGCTGATTTCACAACTTCCTTCTGATTTAGTGGAACATATTTGAGTCGACCTTCCATGATACAAACAGCCTGTTTCAATACAGAGTCAGGAATGTTTGACATGGAGACTAGTTGCTCAAAAGATTTGAAACATGCTTCCCACCTATTGGAAAAGTACATTTCTTCAATCATACCCGTCGGTGCATCGACTTCACCTGGTGCTGTTGCTGTGGATGATCTTACTATCGTAGTTCTATGCTTAACCCATTCATCCCCCAGCATATTATGTTCCTCTTCCCGTTGCAATGTCAATCGTTCTTTTTCCGCGTTTTCCTGAGACTGCCGCAACTGCTCAATTTCCCGCTCGCGCTGTAGTTCCCATGCATCCACTGAAATGGCTCCACTTTTTACAGACTCAAAATGTTGCACCTTTGAACTGACCTCCTCTGCGGAAATTGGCACAGTTATTTTGGGTTTGGTAGGCCTTTCTGGGACAAGTGTCACCCTTTCAAGCAATGTGGACACATCATGCTCAGCCACAAAAAACAGTTTCTGCTCTGATGCAGTACTAGTTTCAAAAAGGGGTTTTTCCTCGATAATGGTGACCTTTGTTGCTTCGACTTTCATGCGTGGATCTTTCATTTCCTCTTGATCCGGCTTTGTGTGCATCCTTTCCGGCAGCGTAGAAGCTACTGGCAAAGCACCTGAATCAGGTGCTGAAACCTTGGTCTTTGCCTGCTCCGCAACAAAATCCAAAGTGGGTACTGCATACTCACTTAGTAAGGATCCTGAGTGTGGGACCTGTGCATGCGTCACCGGCCCCTCTGATCTAGCTGGTTGTACGCCCACAGGCTTCGCCTCCTTGGTAACAAAGTCCAATGAGGGCACTGCTTTGGGGTGTGATTTGACTGCGATAGAGAAATCTTTTGTTTTTGAAGGCGGGTGTGAAATGTCAATTAAAGGAACCCGCTTTGCGATGCTGGTGGGGTTCCTGATGATATTCTTTTTTGGGGGTCGCTGAGTGGCCAAAAATTCTGCAACTTTATACGATACATTTCCCAAAGATCCACCTTTTTTTTGGCTTTGAGACTGAATTCTCTTTAGCTGCTGAGCATAACGCCTACTCGTCTCGCCCAGTGGTTCTACCGCGCCTACTTTTTTTGCAGAGTCAAATAAAATTCTAGCCACCGTTGCGAAATTGGAGCTTCCAGCTCCTCCGTGGGGGGAAGCCATAAATATTTCTTTACTTTGAAGGAAAACCAAAGACAACACAAAGAAGCAAATAAAAAAAAAGTAAATAACACACAATAACACTCACGCATAGTATAAACATAAAAAAAAACACGCACAAAAAAAAAGACTTCTTGCTCCTTTGACCTGGATTTATATATTATGTTTTGAACAGTGGAATTATTCCTTCGCCAAAAACGTCATGTAATTTACACGCATCCACCACTGTAGGAAACGGTTGTAGCATAGACACATATGCTCTTTCGGTGGCCTCAAGAAGATGCTGGGCCGTCTTCACAGGAATACGATCTTCCCCTATCGATACATCAATCAAAGCAACTTCTCGCAGAATTTCAACAATGTCCAAATAGGCTCCATAGGTTAAATCCATGGAATGAGGTTCACCCAGAGCAGCGGTAAAGGTTTGCTGAGCCCTTTTAGTTGCTACAAACAAACCGTCCAACAACAAACGACTATCACTTGGGTTTGATCGAAACACCTTTGTCGTCTCGTGAGCTATAACCGCCACACTAATAAAGAGAATTGGTAACCTAATTGTTTGGATAAATTCCACAAAACGATCATGAAATATTTGTCTAACAACAGCATGAACATCTTTAACAGACAACAGGCCATCCTGTGTTTTTGGGACACAATAGCCCTCCTCCAATTTCATCATGAGACCACATACAGCGGACGACGCAGATTGTAGTAGACGTCTTACATCTCCATAATGGGAGGCTGTCTGGTTACACAGATAGTTGATAGCTTTCTCAGCGAAAAGCGCTGGTTTGATGTTACCAACTCTTCGTAATATGATCGCTTTTAGTTCGGAGAAGCTATAAGGCTCAAAAACCAATTTTTTAGTGATATCCAATCGACTTCTTGTTTTAGCATCCGCTGCTAACTCCATACTGTTAGAAATTGTAATGAGTTTACAAAAAGCAAAAGGAAAACTCAACCAATCTACAATTCTAAAAAATGCCTTATGATGTCGCTTTAACACTTTATCGACTTCATCGATAACAATAACACACAAAGGCATTGAAGCGCTACCCCAACCTTGTCTAAAACGTTTTTCGATCAAGGCAGCACACTGCTCAGGTGAACAATTCTCGGTGTGCCCAAGACGTGCCTTGCTTAAATGAGAATTCAATGTCCAGTATATATCGGTGTTCTTCTGAATCACGTAGCCGTTAAGAAACACTGCAGTCGGTTTCTTTTCTGAGGAAGCAGCTTGCGCAAGAAGGGAAAGCGCATGATTTACAGAAGCGGTTTTCCCTGTTCCAGGCATACCAAAAATCTGCATAACAGGATGAACATTGTCATTTAAAAAGTCCAAAATAGCGCAAACATGTACATCCCGGCAAGTAAGCTCTTTTGCTGCCGCAGCACTGGATACACTCAAGGCAGTAACACCTGCACGAAGAGCTGCAATGATATTTTGGTTCGCATTGGTCCTTTTAAGTTCCATAAAATTTTTGCCCCAATCCAAAATGGCTCATAAACCACACCGAGCGGAAAAACAACAAACTTTGATGTGACCGTGTAAACAAATAAATAAAATAAAATAGACAGAAAAGCAAGACGGGGAAACTATCTACTGCCCTGTTCCACACAGAGAAAAAGCAGCGAAAGAGCATCATCAGAAGCAATTTAAAAAAAGGAGAGATAAAAAACTCTAAATCAACTGGAAAATAAACTAAAATCATCCTCGAATTCTCATACAACCTACAAGAAGTTGTTTTCACAAAAAGCAAAAACGGCGGTAATAATAATAATAATACAGAAATACCACTAATTTGAACTTAACTAAGGCTCAAAATAAATTTGATGGTCCTAAAGCTTGAAATAATGATTTCTTCTTGAGTTGCTTGTTTGCTGTCTCCAGACGAATCTTCCCATTGTCGACAAAGTAAATCTCACGCCAGGTAGGAAGACTTCCTATCCACTTAAATCCACTGTTGCCGTAGTCGAACATTCCACAATCCCATTTAAACTTACGCTGAAAGGTGTTTTCATCTATTTTCTCAATCGGAACCGGATCCAAACAACCCTTTTTTCCCAAATCTAGCCTCGTCCCTTAAAAATTCTAGTACATTTTCACCGTAGTGCATCCCACCCCAAGGGCACCTCAGTGCAGCTCCAGATGCAAGCATTTCACAGGCTTCCTCTCCATGGCCATCCCGACGAAGAGTGAGAAACTTTTCAACCACCTCCACTTCTACACATTCAAATCAAATGTCCAAAAAAACCCTGGAAAATGACATCGGCGCAGAAAAAAAAACATTAAGTATCACATGCAAGAAAAAAAATATACACATGCAACGTTTTTTTAATTTTTTTTTTTTTTTAGTAGGAGGTGTGAAGGAAAAACGTCGTGTTAGTACATATGCTAGCCTCTGAGTGGTGTGTATGTCTGTGTCCACCATGACTTATCAGGGCCTTATTTTGGCAGACTTTGCATCAAAGCGTTCACGAGGTGAATCTGTAATAAAACTTTCGGCAACGTTGGCATGAAAGGCCCGTTCGGTTTCCATGTTCTTCTCCACAGCATCACGGGATCTCTCTGCGAGTTCTAGAGGGTACGTCGGGTCAAGCGCCATCCTAACAGCTTGAGCCACATCGTCCTCATCATCTCCACTCTGCTCTTGAAGCATTTGCATCATGCGCTTCTTGTAATCTCCCCAATCACCTCCCATTAGTTCCACTTGATTTTTCATTACGACTCGTCTTAATTTGTTTATGTTTTTATTTCTCCAATACGAGGCTACGGAAGATGGTGGCTGGGCTCCTGGTATTTGATGAATAAACGCAAAGTGATTTAGGGACTCCACCTTGTGTAGAATCCAAAGCTCACTTCGCAACTGTTTTTTCAATTCCTTGGGAAGTCTAGAACGATGTTCCGTTGGAATATGGGAAAGAACACCTTTGTTTCTAATAGGCACATCGTAGTAGTCTAAAAGAATCCATCTCCTATTTACTTTAATTTCATATTCAATAGGGTTCGGTTCCTGCGGCTTTAAAATAGAATAAAGATTCGTGCAACAAATAGCTATAACTCCAGACTCTGTAAGGTGTGCATCTGCCGCTTCAAAAAATTGCTCCAATCGACCCGCAAATGCGTTCATCCCAGGTGCATACCCATCATCCACTTCAGCAAAAAAAGAACTAAACGATCCCTGATCGGGACAAAAGACCATCAAATCAAACTTGCGTATTCTTGAGGATTCCTTATAGTCATTAGGATCAGGCAACATTTCACACACTCGAAAACTAATTGAATCAAAACGCTTACCCATAAGTTGAGCATCTCTTCTACTAGAGGCCACAGCTCTTGGATTTGGATCAACACCTCGAACAATGGGAACGCCACAATATTTAGTCACAAAAGCAGCAGACCCACAACCACTCCATACGACAAGTGCTTTGTGCAAGAATAAAGGACCTTTGAAATTCGTTAGCCATTGCTTGTACAATAGGAGAGGTTCCATATCAACTTTGGAAGGAGCTGAAACACCAAAGGGTGGATGAACCTTGTGGTGCCTAGGTAGTAAGGGGGCCAATGTTGCCCCCTGCTCAAAATGTGAAAAGCTTCGAAGCAATTGAAGGTATTCATCGTATGTCAGATGGGTATGATCCACCACCGGGAAGTACTCTTCAACAAAAACCTGAAACCTCTTCCATAAAACCTGGGACCATTTAAAATTATCAAAAAATATGTTTTGAATACCAAAACTAGTATTCAACTCGGGATCATTAAAGTCCTCTAATACCCAAAAGTCTCGACGAATCAGTAAGCGACTACACAATTCCTTTAATCTCAACTGTAAACCAACCAACTCTGGTGCAGAAACCGCAGGGTATTCTGATTGTGTCATATGTCTAATACCCACATGGGCTCGGTGAATAGTTTCAATTTTATTTAAAGGAGCCACAAAAAAACCATTCTTCACCAATGCCCAAATGTTATCTAGCGGTTCAGATCCATCAAGCGGCACATACCCTAATGGATATCGATGAGGATCCTTGGTGGCTTCAGGACGTAATATGAGGCCTCTACCACAACAGACCAAGTCTACCAGTCGGAATCTTTTCATCCTTGCACAGAGTTACACGGAGAAAAAGCAAGAAAGCAACAGAGTAATTTATTCATTGTAATAAGAACAAGTTAGTAAACATGAATCACAACAATGCCGACAAAAGAGCAGGTCAACAATAACGAAAAAAACTACAAAACGTGGCTTCCACGTTAAGAACACCTAATTAAACACAAAGACTAAGAAAAAGACAAGAAAGAACGAGTAACCCTTTTCATTGACCACGAACTCGTTTCTGAGGACGTGGAAGTATTTTATTTTTTAAAGAATATGCTGGTGCAGCGGGTGCTTTTAGTGAAGAACAGTCTAACAGATCACCCCAATAAAGGGTGACAGCCTTGCATCTCTCGTTCAAGTAATGCCTGTATACAGCAAAATTCCCCCTAAACCCACGAGGAATAACAGAGTACAAAAGGACATTACGGGGCAAAAATATGGTGATATTTTTTGAGAATGCCGTAATAAACCTAAAAAGCTCTGAAAAATCCATACCTATAGCTTCACGTAGAGAGTTCTCGATGTCAAAAGTTGGTGAAGCAGCATATAACTGTCCTCCCCATGGAGGGGAGCAATGTACCGCCTCAACCTCTAGATTATCTGGTTTCAAGCTACGGAAATCACAACAGTGAAAAGAAACGCGATTTCCCACACCGTAAACCTCCACATTCTTTTTAGCAGCCGCTATGGCATCTGGGTCTTTATCAACAGCGATAACCTTGTCATAAACCAGAGCTAGTTGGGTCGTATCTCCACCACATCCACAAAAAAGATCAAGGACACAGGTTGTCTTCTTCAGAGTTTTATGGAGTTCAGCGGAGGAACGCGCAATAGCTTCGGGTGTAACCTCACACCAACCCCTTTGTGTCATCCACACACCCTCATCAAATCGCGACCACAATCGATGCCGCTGCCCATAGTACTTTTCAACTAGAGGATCGTCTGAAAAGGCAACCCCCAGTCTTGCCATTTTCTCCGACGCCAATGCTATTCGTTATGCGCGTAACTACCGAGAGCTTCAGACACTCAAATGGTGGAAAAAACAGAGAAACCTAGAAATAAAGAAAGAAAAAGAGGGGGGAGGATGCAAGAAAATATACCAAAAACAAAACACAAACATATGTATATATACAAAAAAGACGAGCCTCCCCCGCGAAGGCCTCTTCGTCGGCACCAAAAAGAGCACCACAACGCGAACACCGGCGACGGGACGTTCGCCTGGGTCCCCCCTTCGTCGCCGCAGCCGCCCGCCACGCTGGCTCTCCTCATGCCACGCGGGGCTTCCAGCCTGCCACCGTTTGTTCTAGATACCGGTGGTAACTTATATTTTTTTTCTTTGCAATATTGCCGCTGATATTTGCTTCCTCTCTTTAAAGGGACATACATACCGATACACCCAAATATAGATATATAAGCTCGGCGTCTCAGCTGTTTTTCCTGCAGCTGGGATGGGGGACGATTTGTTCCGGCGCCGCCTCAGAAGGTTTTATGAGGTACATAATCCCTCATGCCTTTCTTCTGTAGATGCCATCTGGCAGACGTACCACGACCGCGAGGAAGACATTTTTAGAGTTCTAGTTGACAAGTATGGACCCGAGCCTGTTTTGCAGGAGAGTATTGGTGGTACATCGCATGAGCAAATCTGTGGACTGAACTCGCCTCTGGGCCGAATGTCGCCACCCTTGAATAATTTCTACATGCAAAAAGAATCCCAAAAAACGACAGAGCATACTGAAAATACAAGAAATCCTGTGGGGCCCGGAGCAGAATTGTCTTCTGCCTTTAAAAACTTTGATACCAATGCGGCGAAGAGGCTACATTATCCTCAATCAACCATTTTAAAAAATGAAAAAAAATGCAATTTGAGAGAAAAATTAATTGATTTTTATCGGACGCATAACAGTTCCATGATCCCCTTTGTGGATGAAGTTATTGAGAATTACAATGGCAATGAGAAAAGGATGTTTGGGGATCTTCACTGTCAATACAGGATGGCAAACGAGTTGATTCTTCCCGTGACTCCTTCTTCTTTCGATGACGCGAATGCCGTAATAAAACGTCTTAGTGATGCGCTGGAGAAAAAAACTGCTGAAACACTTGCACTGAAAAAAGATAAGGAATATATTGCAGAGGAATTGAACTTGTCCAATAAATTACGAAAAGAAGGCCATGAAAACGAAAAACGGCTAGAGACACAATTACTAACTGCCAGAGAACAGCTTCAAGCGCGTTATGACAACCCTGAATTGGAGATTAAAACAGCTGAATTGATTGTCGTACAAAAAGATAAGGAACGACTCGCAAAGGAGCTGGATATTTCAAATAAACTTTTGGAAGGTGTTCAGGAGAAGGAGAAAACGTTGAGGTCGCAGTTGTTATCTACTGCAGAAGAATTGAGAGCCAAAGAGGAGTTCATTTCAGATGGTGCTCGTCAAAGAGATGAGGCTCAGATTACTAGGAATTGTTTGCAGACTGAATTATTGACTGTTAGAAAGGAATGTTCTGGTCTGCGTTCCACTGTATTTAACTTGGGAAATCGTATCCGGGTTCTAGAAGTAGAAAAACAACAACTTCTTGGGGAGCTAAAGGAAGCAGAGAAGCGCGTCTTTGATGCTGGAGATCTGCTTTCTAAGGAACGTCAAAAAAATTTCTCACTAATTAAAGAGGTAAACAGGTTGAAGCTGACCAGTGGAGGAACCCTAAGTAAAGCTGATTTCACAACTATTGTTAAAGAGATAGAGAAGCAGATTTCGGAGCATTATGAATCAGAATTGACTCAATGCCGGAAAGAAATTAACGATTATTATTGTTACGCGGAAAATCAGTTGCGTCGTCGTGACGCTCTTATTGCAGAGCTAAGTGTTGATCGTTGATTACGCTCAAATGATATTTAGTGGAGACGCTTGTAGAGTACTTTTGTTATAGTGTTGCATTGTTGTTTTGATATGCATGCTGCATTTACCGGTTATCACGTGCTGATATTGGAATATTTTTTTCTATATATGCATATTGTGTGTGTTTTTTTATTCTGTGATTTTTTGATATCTATTTTCCACATTTTTTATTTTTATTATTGCGTGGCCGAAAGTGTGTGTGTCCAGGGTTGTTTCTATATATATATATATATGTCTGTTCTTCGACAGAGGTCTCTGCTGGTTGCAGAGAAACCTCTTCAGATGCCGCTTTTGAAGAAGGTCGCAGCTGTAGATCTGTTTCCCAAGCCAAAAGATGACTATTCTCGTACTCAGACGTATCGCGGTGCCCTGGTGAGCTTAGTTACCGTGATTGTAATTGGGTTGCTTGTTTTTTGGGAGGTTGGATCTTACATAATGGGAAGAGATGCATACAAAACGGAACTAAGTGTTGATACGAGTGTAGCGACAGAAGTGGACTTTAACCTGGACATCACCTTCCCTAAAGTGCCCTGCCATGAAATTTCACTGGACGTACTAGATGTTACGGGGACATTTAAGTTTAATGTCACACGTAACATTTTAAAAACCCCTGTGGATCAAAAGGGGAATCCCGCTTTTTTTGGGTATCGCCAAAGTGTTGGGCAACACGGTATTACCCATTACGAAGCCAAAGGTGATCCTAACTCACCGAAGTTTTGTGGAAGGTGCCTATTTGATAAGGCTTATGAAGATATTGGGAATGATCAAAATCGTTGTTGTAACACCTGTGACGAAGTCATGAAGGCACATGACCAACACAATTTACCAAGACCCCCGAAAGCTGAAGTTGAACAATGCATCTACGAGTTGTCGCGTGTCAATCCAGGATGTAATTACAAGGGCACATTGAGGTTGAGGAAAGTCAGTGGAAGGCTTTTCTTTGCACCAAAGCGAATGGGTGGTGGATTTCAAATCGATGATGTTATGCATTTTGATTCAAGTCATATCATTAATAAACTTACTATTGGTGATGAACGTGTTACCCGTTTTTCTCGTCGTGGTGTTCACTATCCACTCAATGGCCATGCTTTTGATGCCCAGAGGCGCTTTTCTGAAATTCGATACTTTTTAAAGGTGGTGCCAACGATGTACCTTAGTTGGAAAAATGTTGGTTTGAACGAAACCTATGAGTATGGTGTGCAGTGGGATCATCGCTTTATACCCATAGGATTTGGACAACTTCCTTCAGTTTCTTTTGGGTTTGAGTTTCAGCCAATCCAGGTGAATAATTACTTCAAGCGGCCATCTTTTACCCATTTTTTGGTGCAACTATGCGGCATTGTTGGTGGACTTTTTGTTGTTCTTGGTTCGATCGACTCTCTTTTTACGTGGATGGGAAACTTGTTCTGAGAATATACAAAAAAAAAGAGGAATTTTTTCGATCGGACAGTTTAGGTGCGAGCAGAAGGCAATGTGTTTCTGTCGTTTTTATTCTCTTGTGGGAGAATTTTTTATGATGTTACTTTTTTGTGTTATCATTGCTGAATCTGGGTTTCAGCTGATTTGCCTTGATCCCATATATATATAATACGTTATTCCTAGCTTCTTTTTTCTGCTTGTATATGTTGTTTGTATAGTGAACTAAGTTTGAGACAATGAAACGATGTTTGGTCCTGGCAGCTGAGGCAGAAATGCCAGGGATATTACCTGACTGGGCCATAAAGAGGCATACGAAGCTGGCTACAGCCTTGGATAGACTGGGTGTTTGACTTTTCTCCATGGCGAAAAAAAGTGATCGTACTGAGTGACAGGAAGCTAGGAATCCAACCCAAAGAAACACTCTATCGCATACCAAGACTCCTCGCTGTTAATGGTGTGCGGTCAACCGTAATGGATAATATACTTATCGCTCCCAGTGCTTTTGTTTCGGGCGACGTTCGAATGGGACGGAAGAATTACATTGGCTATAATGCTACTATTCGCGCTGAAAAGCTGAAACGATCTTTCTTGGTGAAAGCTGTAACGTACAGGAAAAGGCCGTTGTGAACGGAAACACCACAGTTGGAAAGTGGACATCTATTGAACCCATGTCCATAGTTGAGTTGGCTGATATATCATCCTGCTCATTTGTGGGTGCAAACGCCATTGTTATGAAGGGAGCAAGGATGGAATCTGGTTCAATGCTCTGTGCAGCCTCTGTACTTCAATCAGATGCCATTATTCCTTCTGGAGTAATGTGTAATGTGTTCCGGGAATCCAGCTGAAAAGATTAGGGATTTAACTGAAAATGAGCAAGAGGATATAGTAAAGGCCGCAAAGCATATGGTTCTTCTTGCGATAGAACATAGAGCTTCATGGGAGCTTACAGGGGAGGAGCTAGAGGACCAACGCGAGGCTCGTGAGCAGTTTGCCCGATATGCAGAGAAACAACCGAGAGATTCGAACGAAACCCATGTATATTAAAGAACCTCCACGGCCGAGTAGAAAGGCTACGGGTAGGAAGATACCGCAGGAGATGTTAGATGGTGGGGAGCATAAGCCACCCATGGCAGAGAGTATTCATCAGGGATATTAAATATTGGGTTTGGTTGGGTTGGATTTTATTATTTATTGTTGTTGATTTGAATGGAGTAATGAAAAGATGAAATAATAAAAGTTTCCTTAGAGGAAGGGTGGCCAGTGTCTTAGTCTTGGTCACAGTAGGAGAAACAGGAGGAGGAGCTATCGTGGAAAGTACAATCCAGTGTTTTTTTTTTGTTGTTGTTGTGGCTGTTGCACTTTCCTTCTTTATCTTCCTGCTGTTGTGGTAGGCAAGGTGATAATGTGGCCGGAACTATGCGTCTACTGTTTTGGAGGTGTTGATTGTAGTTATCCATTTTTCTATTTCTCCTCGTTTTTCTTTTTTTTTTCCTGGTGCATTTGTGCGGCGACTAGAACTTCATCGAGTGTTGGGGCGTATGGAATCCGAGGAAGATACGTCGGTCGTGTCATGCGAAAATATCCACAAAACATATCTTCTTGGCTCCGAAGGTGTTTCTGCTCTCCGCGGGGTTGCAGTTGATATAAAACGGGGTGAATTTGTTGTTCTCTACGGGACAAGTGGAGGTGGGAAAAGTACTCTACTTAATGTGCTTGGAACAATTGATTTCCCGACGAAAGGCAATCTTTATCTATTTGGCCAGCGAATCACAGAGCAAACTCCAGACAGCGTGCTTGCTCATATTCGATGTCATCGAATAGGGTTTGTATTCCAATCCTTTAATCTTTTGTCTTCTATGGATGCGTTGGGAAACGTTTCTCTTCCAATGACAATTGCAGGAACGCGATCAGCTGCTGAAATAAAAGAGCGGGCGAAGGATCTTCTAGTTTCTGTTGGCCTTGGTGATCGTTTGTATCATTTTCCTTCCATGTTGTCTGGTGGAGAACAACAGCGTGTGACCATAGCACGGGCACTAGTAAATGATCCCGAAATACTCTTATTGGACGAGCCAACTGGAGATCTTGATAGGAGAAACACCATACTGGTAATGAATATCCTGACGAAGCTTAATCGTGATAATGGGCTTACGATGGTTATGGTGACTCACGACGTGAACATGAAGCCGTACTCTCACCGAGTCTTGTATTTACGAGACGGCAAATTGCAACGTATAGAGACCATTGACCCTCGAGTTCGAGAAATGGCCCTAAACAGACTGAAAAAGGAAGCTGAAAAAGCACTTCAAGGGATAAATGATGACAAGGCTCTCAACATGGTGTCGGTGGTACGCAACCCTGCAGACTACGCCACCGCTGCCGCCCAGTGTCAAATGTCTTTTGAAGATGATCCAGGAATGCAAGAGGTTGTGAAGGTTCTCTTTGCGGTGTAGTCTCTCTGTTGGGAAAATAGCAGTTATTACTTATATTTGTGTTTTGTTTTGGGGTTCCTTTGGGGCTTTTACTTCGGCTTCACTACGGGTTTTTATTTGTCTATGCAGTTACAAAAAGTGGAGATGTATGGCATGAAGAGTAAAAAAAATTTTTTTAGTTTGTTTGCTTGCTTTTGTTGCGTTGTATTCTTGTTGCAGGAGCTACGAGTATTGCTTTCTACTTGCATGTTTGTTTTGTGTCATTCCTTCATGGTGATTCAAGGCCTCAACACATACACGATGCAAAAGAATGGGCCACAGTTCTCTAAAGTGGTTTTCTGTTTCTTTCGTCTTGCTTGGCTTTGGAGCGAAAATGATCATGCGTAAGATGCCACTCTACACCCTGTGTGAAGGAGGTCGTTAATGCTGACCCATGGTTTTACTTTTGGAAAGCAGCATAGCCAAACGCGACTTGAATAGTAAAAGATGCCAGGAAAAAGATGTTTTTTTTTTTGTTTCTCTCTCTCTCTTACTCTCTCTCTCTTTGTACTGGACTACAGCATACATGAAGGTGCATTACGCACAATGGAACAGTTCCTTGCAGATGGGCAAAAGTGCTGCGTGAACTGCAAGTTTTGGCGAAGGTTTAAACAATCTCGATTTGGCTGTGTTTTTGTATGCGGCTGCCCTGGTGTGTTCATAGACTTTCAAAAGGTTCTTCGTGATTTCGTGACCGACATTCGTTCTGGAGCACGGTCCGTTGAGTTTCTTCCTATCATCTCTGGACGTGTTGCAACCGATCACATGAAAGTTGCCCAGGTTGAGTTGGACCTGCGAACAAACTCTATTGAACTGCGCATTATGAACACAACGCCGGCAGACGCGCTGCATATCCTTGAGGGGATGCCACTGAGCTTGGACCAATGGACCACGACGAAGGAAGGGTGCTTCCGCTTTCCTCTTGACGTTCTAGACATGCTGGTCCATGAACTTAAGATGGTGTCAGACACTAGTGAGGATGGCCTCTACGTCAATGCGCCCTCAACATGTTGCAGGGAAATGAGTTTGGCCTCAAGAACGGCCAATTCGTTTCAGTTAAGCGAGTTGTTACCGGCGAGACTCTTTTCGGCATTGCAGCAGCATCAAATAGATGGCATTTGTAAGGCTTTGGCGTTTGGTGGCCGTGCACTCTTTGCGGATGAGATGGGAGTAGGCAAGACTCTTCAAGCGATCGGGACCGTTGCGGCGCTCAGTGCTTTTCCGACTCTCATCGTGTGCCCGGCCGCCTTGCGCTACATGTGGGTCGAGGAAGTGGAAAAGTGGCTGGCAGAGACAGTTGAAATGGAGGACATTCACGTTATAACCTCCTCCAGTCAATTTCTCTCTGTAAGTGATGCCCCCAAGGTGGTAGTAACAAGCTATCATATGGTTTCTATACTTGCCGCGCAAATGAGGAGCCGCGAGTGGAGCTGCGTCGTTGTGGATGAAAGTCACACGCTACACACAACGCTGGATGCCTCCAGTGACGCCCAGTACACATCACTGGTGTGCGAGCTTGGAAAACGCGCAAAGTACTGTCTCCTGCTTAGTGGAACGCCCTCATTGACGTCGCCCTTTGATCTGTTTAATCAAATTGATACTCTTCGCAGTGGGGTGTTTGGCCAAACCCGGTTTGACTTTGCGCTGCGGTACTGTCGCATGGAATTTTTGCCCCATTTTAGGGTCTGTGAGTGTATACGCAACGTGGAATTGCACTCTCTACTTGAGGCGACTTGCATGATCCGTCGCCTCAAGTCGGAAACGCTAATTGATTTGCCCTCCAAGCAGCGTATTCTCCTGCGTCTTCCGGAGACAGTAGTGCATGGCCAACGGAGAGAAGTTTATTTTCAGAAGGAGTATTCTCTCAGCTGGGGGCGCAAACGTGACGAAATAATGGAGGTTGTTGACTTTCTTCTTAAAAAGTACACTAAAGTAGTTCTCTTTGCACATCACATTAAATTGCTGGATGTGTTAACAACACATGTGAGCAAGCAGAAGGTTTCATGGATCCGCATCGATGGGAGCACCCCAATGTCCGCACGGGCGACGTCGCTGTCATGGTTTAATCAGGGTGATGTTCGAGTTGCGATTATAGGCATCACTGCCTGCGCCGTTGGAATACACTTGACGGGGGCATCTTGTGCCCTATTTGCAGAGCTTCCGCCTGACGCGACGTGGATGCAGCAGGCGGAAGATCGACTGCATCGCCCAGGCCAAGTGAGGCATGTCGTTTTTTTCTACATTGTGGGGACCAGTTCCTTTTTTGATGGTGAGCTCTTCGCCCGCCTCTGTCGGTCCTTTCAGACGGTTCGTCGCACCACCGATGGGGTGCCTGTATCGCTCACTGCAAGCTATGCAAGCCACACAGAGTCGTTTGGTGACGTCACAGAGACAAACTTGGCCGTGGTTAAAAATTCAACTGCATCCTTTAATCTTGCGGCTACAGTGCCGTTGCTTTTTCGCATTAGCTCCAACACCGGACGCATTCACGTCAGACAGGGCGGTAAGTATTTATTGAGTTTATCGCTCGACGAAGCGCGGCAGCACTGGTCTCTCACGGACGACTTCTCACATGAGCTAAGACGGTTTATCTTGAATGTTGAGTCCCTGTCGTTTTTTGAGCGTCGCCGAATGAGGTCGGCTTCTGTTTGGCTGCCATCGAATTTCTCCTGGTGGAGCGAGAAGGCGCGGTGCAAGACGTTTCTTCGTTACGCCCATGAGGGTCCGGTTCTGGGAAGAATCTTTTTTTGGAAGGTCAATCGCTGCTTGTACCCCTCCACTTTCTACGCCGCACTACTCTCTGCGTTGGGGGAGGCCTACGCGCCGCTCTGTTTGGAGTGCAAGGGTTCTTTCCCGTGTTCATTCTCTCCATCACCAGGCGACGTTGTGTGCATCGAAAAAGACATCGACATGTTTTGCAGTGGTCGCTGCCGTGCTGCCTTTTACATTAAACGCTCCGGGTCTGCCGTTCGACGAAGTGTTCGGGAGGCCGACCATGGCATTTGCTCGCATTGTCATGTTGATTGCGAGGTACTTTGTGCACAGCTGGTTGCCGCAACGACGGGACAAGAGCGTGAGGTCATTTTGGACCGCATGCATCCACAAATGCGGCAGTATCCGGCACTGTTTAATCGAATTATCGAAAATCCGGTTGCCGGAAACGTTTGGAATGCCGATCATGTCTTGCCTGTGAGTCAGGGCGGCGGGCAGGCGATGATGGACAACCTTCAAACCCTATGTGTCGCGTGCCATGCGGAGAAGACACTGCGTGAGTCGGAAATGCGACGCAGAGGCGCTGTCAAGCGAAGCTACCGCACCACGGTGGAAATGTCTAGCACTCACTTCACAGTGAAGGCCCCGCGGCGTGTGACTGCAGAACGTTTGTTGCTTTTGAAGGAAGGGACCTCGTACTTTGCTCTCCTCTCCGTGTTGTTGTTTTTGGGTTTTTGGTTTTTCTGCGGTTTTATTCCCTGTTCTACTGGGGGGGGGGGTCATTTTTAATTTTTTTTTTCTTTGACGGACATTTGATGCGCTCCCATTCCTTGCCTATTTCCTCGTTTTTTCAACCGCCACGCGCAGATCAGCAACACAAAGCCGACGGAAGCCGACGCGTGCAGGGAGGGAAGCAAGTAGGTGCAAGGGAAGAAAAAGTAGAGTAAGCGGCACCCATATTACATTTTACTTTTTATGGGTTCTGGTGAGGAAGGCTCTAATACATGTTTTGTTTTCGATATTATTGGTGAGGGGCAGACGGAGATCAGTGACACCATCGCAGATGAAATTGAGTTTTTGAAGCAGAACTACGACAGTATTGAGGTCGTAGAACTTGAGGGATTCTACCCAAAGGTGTTACTCACCCTCGAGGCGGAGTCAAACCCCAAGCGTCGTGTGGTGCTTGAGGTTGCCATCGTTGCTGGCTACCCCTTCGTTGCCCCGAGAGTACGAATTCAACTCCCAGAGGGTGTCACGCCTGAGTGCAGCGTGGCGCTGGATGAGTCCGAGGCGCATCAGATTCAGGCGGAGGTGCGAGAAGCCATTAGTCCCTGTCTTCTCGCAGGCGTCCCTTGTGTTATGCAGATCATCTCCGTGGTGGAACGTGTGCTGTCTAGCGGCATCCAACGTTCATGTACGCCGAGGCATGCGAAACCCGTCGATGCTGCGGAACTTCCACCTTCCCAGACGACGCTAAAAGCGCAGGAGTTGATAAGGATCTGCATTCTATTGCTCCATCTACTTAATAAATGTTGCCATTTGAAGGACCCTGAATCCATGGAAGAGGCCAAAAGCAATTTTCAGCTACTAGCTCATTACTTGATAAATGACTTGAAGCTTATACCAAAAAAGCTGCTTAAATGCATACCTTGGAAGTATGATTATACTCAACGCGCTTTTCGCGAAACTGTCCGCGAATCTATGGATGGAACCGACAATATTACCAAGTGGTTTTGGTCTCAAGAGGAGGGTAGTGGCGCCTTTCAAAACAGTTCGCCTGGACGATACAAGAATGAGTTTATTCAGCAACGCAAGTTGGGCTCTGGTGGGTTTGCCCCGGTTTTTGTTTGCCGCAAAAAAGTGGATGGCCGTCTGTATGCCGTTAAGAAAATTCTCACCAAAAAGGACCAATCAGAAAAAGTTCTAAGGGAGGTTCAGAGTTTGGCAGCCCTGAGTCACAAAAACATTGTCCGCTACTATGACGCATGGATGGAGCCTGGATGCGACGAGGACCTGTTAAGCTATGCATCTCTTCCAGAGGAGACAGAGGAGGATGAAAAAGAGGGGAGCCGTGAATTAATGGATACTTTACACCTGGACGCTAAGGCAAGGCGGCAGTCGTTTTGGGATGATAGCTCGGAGACAAGCAGTGCAGCCGATGCATCAAGTGAGGAAAGTTGCTCCTGTACCTCCTCAGACGACGACTCCCCCCGAGGTATTTTGAACACCCCATACATTGCCCACTCTGAGGACTATCGCACACTTTATATTCAAATGGAATTGTGCTCCAAGAACACACTACGGCACATGATTGATGAGTCTGACAGGGGTGAAACAAGCCTTTTTTCTTCTGAGAATGGAGAAAAAATGGCGGCACGGATTTTTCGTCAATTGCTGACGGTTGTGGCTCACTTTCACAGGGAGAAAATTGTGCACCGTGACCTCAAGCCCGATAACATTCTGTTCGAAATGGAGGAGTCAGCGAGTGGAAGTGAAATTGAGGGCATTCGCGTGGCGGATTTTGGCTTGGCGCGGACGATGCAGTCATCGGTAAAACGAAATCCCAACAGCTTTGAGATGGATGACCTTAATGCGCTTGTTGACCGTGAGGATGGCTGTTTCCCGACAGGAAACTTGGGATCTGTTCTGTACTGTGCTCCTGAGCAAGAGCGCGGTGAGGACTATGACTTTAAGGTGGATGAGTACAGCCTGGGGATGATAGCGCTTGAGATGTGGCTTGCTGTCGCAGGTAAAGGCTTCAGGGAGCGCTTTAATATTATGACAGAAGTTAGTCGTGGAAATAAGCTTCCCGAGTGGTTTTTAAAGTGGAATCCAAGAATGGCAAATGTAATTGCTGGCCTTATTGAATGGGACCCGAGTTCACGGCGCTCATGTGAAGAGCTTCTCATCACGGCTGATCTCCCTGGCGATCCTGCGGACATTGTGGAGGCATTGGAAACGATTGAGCGACACAGGGAACGTATTACCGGCCGTGTGCTTCACTGTATTCAGAAAATGATGATGACTCACTACCGCAAGCCAGCACCGCAGGTAAAGGATTATACAAAGTCACTCACTAATACAGTTTTACTTGATCTCATACAGGCAATTAACATTATTGGGTACCTTCACGGTGCTGTCCCCGTGGCCTGCTATGATTCAATGATTCCTATGAATCCCTCACTTGGTGAGTTCGAGGTTCCATGTGTTATTGACATGCGGTCAAGAGTGTGGGCAACCCCATCACAACCACATCTTGCTATAGCCCACTTTTTCGGCCACCTGACGCATCCTCACATCGGCTCTTTTTATCAATTCTTTCACAGAACACGACCCTACGCGGTATTTACGACGCCGTTGTGTCCATCTGGAATTGCGGAGGAAGCAGTTATCGATCCGGTGCTATCCTTTCTCCATCTATTGTCTGTGTTTGATTTGAACACCAAACTTAACCTCATTATCTCCCACGCCCACTGGTTGAATGCAACCTGTTCGCGCGAGTCCAGTCCAAAGGTTTCGTATGATGATCTATCGGAAGTGGGTGGTCCGATTGAATCAAGTGACCTGATTCTGCCGCTTGTTTCTAGGATGGATGGGGCCTTTGTTGAAGCGCGTCTATTAAGGCCCTCATGGGATAGACTAGAATCCGTACGAAGCTTCACCACTCTATTACTTGAGGTTCTGCCTTTGTTTGGGAAGCAGGTTGCCTCGAACGTCAGCATAAGCATTGATCCTGCCCTGAAGCCAAGTGAGACATCTGTGGATAGGGCATTTCTCGAGCATGGGCTTATTCTCGAATGTCGTACACAAGGCGAGGGTAGGCCAGTGGCATTTTTCTGTAACCTTGAAAACTTCACGAGTAAGTGTCTTCCAAGGGGGTCTGATATGCCTGCAGTTAGTTTGAGTGTCGATCTTTTTGAGCTGGGGGCAGTGGGAAAACACGTTCACTTTCAACAGAAGTCTCTGCTGCTTAGCGGGGTGGGAATTTGCCGTCAAGACGTTTACGCACCGGGTCAAATGAGTTCCATCATCGCCGCAGCTGTGAAGGTGTGGAGTGGCAACGTACGAGCCTGCCTGTGTGTGGATCATGACAGCCGTGCCTTTTGCAAAGCCATGAAGGCAAGAAATTTGTCCATGGTGTTGCTGGATGGGTCCCGGTTTGCATCGCTTGAGTCTGTGCAGCACGGTAAGGTGCGAACTCGCAGAGACGCCATTTCCGGGGATTTATGCGTGGCCATACGAAAGCTCAACGGGGCGGAGTTGATGGAGGACGTTCAGCCAAGGGAGCCTGCGATATTTATTAGGGAAGAAAAGGCAAAGACGTTTTCTGCAGAGGAGGCTAGTGAAATTTACTCCATCATTGTAAAATCCATCTCCCACATCCTGGTGGTGGATTCAGAGGCCAAGACGGTGGAGTGCGGCCTAAAAAAGTTCATGGGACACTCGATACCAACTGAGGTGGATACCCCCAAAGCCGCCGAGCTTAGTAAGTGGCTAAAAAGCAACATGTCGGCACACGGTGTGCTGCCTATTTTTTCTACCCATGACAGGACCGTGTCCTTCTTTGTCAACCAGAATATATTCCGCCGCATAGGCCATAGCGATGGTGGGAGGAGGAAGAAATAGCTGAGGGTGGGGAGCCGGAAATGCAACGACACACACTCCGTTCTCCACGAGAGAGGGAGACTGCGGTAGGGTGCAGGCGTGTTCGCTCCGTGGAAGCCCAATCCGGAAGAGAAGCAGAAACAGCAAACACCATGCCCGCTGGCCGCCGTCGCCACTGTCTTCTGCTTGTGTCTCTTGCCACCCCCTGCCAATTCCGGCAACGCCGCAGGCAATCCTCCACTACGTCTTCTTCTGTTTCTTTTTTTTTTTCTGCTCTTGACTTTCATGAATTTCATTTTGCCTTTCAGCTCCAGTTGGGAAGCAAAGCAGAGAACGTGGAAAAAAGGCGGTAAGTGAGGGAAAGAGCGAGGGCACAAACACACACACATCGACATACAGCCATACCCGCAAAAGGAAACAGGGAAGAGGCGTAAAGAGCGGCGGGAGAGATTTAAAACAAGCACGCTCTAACAAAAAGCGCGAGTGTTCGCATGGCGCACTTCTTCAAGAAACACACACACACCGCCTCATCTCCGGATACGGAGGAATTGGAGATGCTGCGGCAAAAGGTTGGCACTCTGGAGGAGGTTGTTAGGCGGGCAGAGGAGGACTTGCGGGAAGAGCGAAAAACGCTTTCCATGCTGCAACTTAAGACGACCCAGTGGAAGGAAAAGGTTAAAGAGCTCTACAGTAAGGATCAGGTACGTATCGCACAACTGGAAGATGAATTGAAAGTCATCAAGGCACTGCACGACACTGCGCCGGTTCCCATCACCGCGGAGATGCAGTCGTTGCTGGACAAGGCGCTTTCTACGCTGCGCGACGAGCACGAGCGTGGGTTGGGAGCAAAGCAGCAGGAGCTGAACAAGGCACTTGCCACTGTGTCGGACCGCGAGTTGGAACTCGCAAAGAGCCATCGTGAGATGAAGGCTCTCCAAGATCAGTACATTGTGAGCCAACAACACTTCACGCACGAACTGGAGTTGCTTAACAGGCACCATGAAAAAGAAATACAGCAACTCAATGCACAAGTGGAGGCGTCGGACAAGACCCAAGAACTCAGAAGCCACATAAGGAAGCAGGAGAAGGAAATCCAGGACTTGGAGCAACACTCCGCCCAACAGGCAGTTCTCACTGGAGAGTTGCAGACAGAAATTGTGGAACTCACGGAAACAAATACCAAGCTACAGAGAGAACTTGAGGAGGCCATTGCCAACATGTCCACCGTCCTTGAGAAGCAGCGATTATGGAAAGAGGGAGTTAAAAACATAAAGCTGCAGGATATGAAGATTATTCACGATCTGCAAGAGGAACTTGAAAAACAAAAGCAAGCAATATCCACGGAAAAAGTGAAGGAGGAGAAGCTTCAGTCCGTCGAAAAAAATAAGGACATATCACAAGATCTTCATAACTCACAAAAGCAGACGCCTGAGGGAATAAACCTCATTCACACAGTGACCGACCCTCTTCCAGAAAATCTATCTAACCTCTCGCACTGCAAAGAACACACAAACAAATACCAAACATCCCTCATCGAAACCCCACCGGCACCTCCGCACACGCTCTCTACTAATTCTATTGCATCGTCTCCAATGCAAACAAAAAACGGTGAAGCAAATATTAATAAAGCGGCGTTAGCAGTGAACCTGCGTGCCCAGCTGGAAGAGGCCGTGCGGCAGCGCGAGGAGGTGCAGCAAGAGCTGGTGCGAACGGGTGAGGAGCTGAGCAGCCTCCGTGAACAGGGCGGTCGGATACTGCAAACCTGCGTGCCCAGCTGGAAGAGGCCGTGCGGCAGCGCGAGGAGGTGCAGCAGGAGCTGGTGCGAACGGGTGAGGAGCTGAGCAGCC